GGGCAGCAGGTGAGTTTTTTAAAAAATTTATGAAGGATGCTTATTAAAAATGTACTTGGGTAAAAGACAGGACAGTGTGGAAGGAAAGAATGATGAGACATTGTATGTATTATTAATGTTATGAAATAAAATATGCAAGAAGGATTGATTAAAATATATGCTTTTTAATCTTTCACTCAAAACACAAAAAATGTTTAAAAATCTTAAACGAAATAATGGCACTACATAATACAATATGGCTGATCCCTTAAATATGTTTCAACAGAATTATTCTTCTTTAAAAAATTATTATTTTAAGTTCATTATTGCACATTTTTTTCTCTCCTTTTCCCTTCACGTCCCCAACCCCACCTTACAATGCACCCTTGGTTATCATAAATATAATGCCTAACTATTTTTTTCTTTCGGTCAGTTCTTCTCCTCTGTTCTAATGCAATATTCATTTTCTATCCACTCTTTTCACATTCTCTCCCCAACCCCCTATTTTTTAACAGCAAACAGCAGTGTTATACAATAATTCTTATAGTATTAACATTGAAAAATGAAATTTAAGCAGGATAAACATAATATTTTTGGTTTTATTTTTGCCTTCCAAATGTTTATTGACTATGTTTTCATGTATTTGAGAAATAGCCGAAGAATCGTGTTACGCATTATGCAAAAGCAATAGGTTTATTTTCTTGGTTCATGGGTTAAGTAATGTATTAATAAAGACTGATAATTTATTTAGATGTATTTGAAGTTGTTGTTGTTAAGTGCCATCAAGTCGTAGGTGACTCATAGTGACCTTATGAGCAAAAGTCCTTGACGCTTGCGTGACTTTCATTCTTTCTCTGGGTTCATAGGGATTTTGGAGGCAAGCTATTATAGAAGTGGATGCCACTCCTGCTTCCAAGGTTGTTTTAATTGAGGAACTCCACCAAACACCATGGGTGACCACTATCACATTTGACACATCAGTGTCACAGTGTTCAGCTTCACAGTAACCACAAGTTACCTCTATAGGACAAGTGGACACACCAGGGCTATGCGACCTCTAAATACCCTATCAAATGTTTAAAGTTGCTAAGAACAAATTCTGGTTATGTCTGCAAGCTTAGTATGTGCTTTCAGGTGTTAGTATTAGGAAATTAGGCCAACAATGACAATATATATTTTAAAAGAAACTGGTGATCAGGAAATTCTTTGCTTACTGTGACTCAGAAAGACATATAATTGTAACTAATTTAATTTACAGAACACTTTTATTACTATGTTATTTTAATTTCTATTTATGACAAGTTACATAGTTATAAATATAGTTTTAAATATTTTGTCATGTATTGTGCTAACTTGGTGCTTTAAAATTAAAACTTTGTAATATTCTCTTTCAGCATTTATAATATCCACTTTTTGATTGGAATTATAGTGAATTGTCTGCATATATAATTATTTTACTTGAAAATAATTTAGCTGGTCAATAGCAGTTTTATTCCAATCAAATCTAAAATCCATCATTAGTAAGATTAAAGGGACTAGATCTGCAGAAAGTAAATAAACAGGCATAGGATACCATGTATCCTTATATTTCTCAGTAGCTATAATTTTTCAGTCTACAGCTTCAAAAATTATTCTACTCTTGATTCAATTGGACATACAGAAAAGTCATTACAGTTGATTTCTATACAAAACTCAAAATTATGCACATATTCTTTGCCCCTGCAATCAAATAAGGGTAAATAACATCAGCTTTTATATATGTGAAGTTAATAATTCAGCATATTTCTCTAGCCATAAATTATCTTAAAGTTTTTATTTGCACGTAAATATAAGCTAGGGAGTTCTAGTGGCTATTCCACAGTGAGTTCATTGCTAACTCTTATAGAAAGTGATCTCTCTTCCCTGGAGTTTGGATTCAGCTTGTGACTTTGGAGAAATTTCTTTTCCTTTCTTTGGATTTACAGTCTTAGAAACTGGCAGAAGGTCTTCTAACTTGATTCAACGGCCAGTTATTTGCGTGACGTTGAAGGTGTACAAACTACTGTCAATTTTTAATTTTTTTTTTAAAAAAAAACACAACACACAATTACTAGGAAATCTCATCTCCACAGTCAACACTCTTGGCACCAGCAGCCAGGAAATCAAAAAATGTATTGCGATGGGAAAGTCTGCTGCTAGGGACCTCTCTAAAGTACTCAAGAGCAACAGAGTGTCTCTGGAGACTAAGGTGCGTCTGATACAGGCCATGGTCTTCGCAATCACCTTTATGCATCAGAGAGTTGGACAATGACTAGGGAGGATAGAAGGAGAATTGATGCCTTTGAGCTGTGGTGCTGGAGAAGAGTGTACCACGGACTGCCAAGAAAACAAACAGATTCATCCTGGAGAGGATTAAACCAGGCTACTCCTTGGAGGCAAGGATTCTGGGGCTTTGTCTGACATACTTTGGACATGTTGTAAGGAGGGATAGGTCTTTGGAAAGGGACATCATGCTTGGCAGGGTGAAGGGACAGTGCAGGAGGGGAAGACCCTGTATGAGGTGGATTGATTCAGTGACTGGGGTAATCGGGATGGGTGTGTCAGAGGCCATGTGATTGGCACAGGACAGAGTAGAGTTTAGGGCTGTTGTACATAGGGTCACTATGAGTCGCCAATGACTTGACAGCACATAACAACAACAACAACAACTAGGAAATCTGAGGAAATAATGTTCTTGAACCAGATAGAGACTTAACAAATAGGAAATTAAAGAAAAGAAATATCAGATAAAGAATCAGAAAAATTATATTAAAGAAATGAGCATTCTAAAGTAACATACATATTGAGATGATAAATAAGAATGGTTTAGTCTAAGAAACTTTCCGATGACTTATTTTAGTGAGAGAGTGCTGGTGGACCAACCTCCTGAAATCATCCTGAAATTAATCAGAAGGACTCTTGGAAAGTTACAACAGATAAATACTAAGTCTACCTTACAAAAGAAGGCACAAAAATCAGATTTACAAAATGAATGCATTTATAATTTCTCTGCTTCCTAATTTGATTTTTCTTTCCTTTCCTTTGTTATTATTGTTGTTAAATGCCATCAAGTCATCCACTATAACTCATAGCCACACTATGCTTTTATTTACTACACTTTACATCTCCTTCATAGGTACTATTTTACTTTGTTCATTTAAATATTTTGTCAACATGCATGCCATAACAGGTATATATTGCTACCCATATAGAACAAATAGATGAAATAGAGAATTCTTGGATATACAGTTATATTCTGTGTCCAACACTGGATGTTCCTAAGTTGTATAATATTATTTCTGTAAATGATTTATCTATGAAATTCTGAAGACCCAGATACTTTCTGATTCCATGCTCACATTGAAACAAAAGGAAAATTAGTAATATCTATCATTTATTGATTTTTTATCTTTTATCATAGAGTAATCTATGGATGTTACACATAAAAATATACACAAAATCCTTAAGAGTAGGTACCATTAATATCTTTACTTTAAAATTATGATATTTGAGAAACAGAGAGGCTTGTTAAATAGCCCAAGTTCACATAGATAGTAAGTGGGCTTCATATAAAGACAGTGTCCTTAACGTATACATTATTACTCAGTAAGCTATACTCTCTCCAAGGATTCCCTGGATCTTACATAAGTACACATTAAATAAGGTATTTTAATCTATATTTTATCACTGTAATTATCACATCCTAGCAAGCAACTCGACAGCACATAACAACAACAACAACA